ATTTGATGCAATCATAAATGTCAGGGATCTTGGAAATGTCAAAATTTCGGTTCTTGGTTCTGAAGTCCTTTTCCAGCTTGGCCCATCTGCGCTGCATTAGTTCCCAAGATTCACCATGGTACAGGGGCAGGTCTGGGAAGTTGGAGTTTTGTATTAGTTTGAAACTTGTAATATTTACTTGGACATATGTAGAAGAATATTAGGAAACAGAAGAGAGAAAAAAGAAAAAAAAAGAGAACTATAAAAAGTAAGAAAAAAGATAAGAGAGTGAAAAAGGCAACTTAACAAGAAAAAATTAAACCTGCTTAGCCCTCTTCTTCCAAAAATAACATGAACAAAAAAGACAAATAATTAGATCACTCACCCTTAGTCTTTTGATCTTCCTTTCTAATCTTAATCCGTTCATTAAGCTTCTTGATGAGGCCATAGACATGTTCACACATCCTGACTGGGTTCTGGATGAACTCGAGTGCCGTTGAGATGGACCTCGAGTTGGTGGGATTGAGCTTCTCCATGTCTTCTTGTGTGAGGTCGTGGTCTTGCTGCATGGCCTCATGGAGACGGTTCTTGACCCTGAATTTGTGTAATTTTTCCCCCATATAGGATTACTCTTTGGACCTATTACTTCCACCCAGCTCATACCTTTGTCAATTCTTTGATTTCTTTGAGTATACCTAAATATATACCATCCACAGGTAAATCAATTTGTAAGAATTATTTGTAAAGAAAAATGAAAGTGTCTTATGTTTTCTTTTTCCAGTACGGAATGGCTGGTTGTCTTTTTGACAACAGGTTTATTTGGATTAATTAATATAACAATATATCATGCTGTGTATGCTTATCTATACAATGTTGGCATTCATATATATACAATATGAACAGCATTAAACAACAAATAAAGACTATCATTGCTAAAACTATATACAAAGAGACAAAAGAAAACTCAAGATGCACCACACACATGTTCTGGTGTTTGTACGAGTCACAGTCATTGTCCAGGAGCCCATTGGTGTTAGCGCTCTTGACCATCTGCACAAGTATTGGTGTGAGCTCCCCTTCTAGTGCCAAAAGTCCCTTGGCAAAAGCAGCTGCTGTCATCTGGACCCGCCCCTCATCACTAGCGTAGATCTTGAGGTCATGGCGGTAAGTTGAGTGGAGGCGGAGGAGGCCCAGACCCTGTGTACCAGCATACTCACCTGGTTTGGGGGGCCAGAAATTGTGGGGGTGAGTTCCTTGGTGGGAATGAGGCCCTCGAGTTGGTGTTTTGATGCTGATGATATCCTCTTTAAATCCTCATCAAAAAAAGTTCTCTACTTCTTCTAACTTTGGGGTTTCTCTACTGCTGTTTTCCTAACAATCTAAGCTCACTTATATTTTCTTAAGACTGGCAAAAGGAGGCACTGAGTACTGTGCAAAGCTGAGTGATTTTGTTTTAAGCACATTTACTTGAAGGCTACAAATATGATGCACAGCATGACCTGTGAAAACAATCTTCTTCACATTGCTAAAATATGTGATGTGATACTGACTTTAATCAGTAATGAAGCCGGTGCATACATGACATGAACCAAAGAAGATTTTCATAAAACAAAATCTGAAAAAAATAATAATACACACAGCATAATCAAACACAAATGAGATATAACAACTTTCCTGAATATAAACATAATCAGCCTCTCAGCACAGAGCAAAGGCATGCAAAGAAAAAACTAAAGATGAAAATCTAATAATATTCAAAATCTCCAAAAAGATTATCTAATCTTACATTAATTTTATAACTTGACATCTGAAAATAACTGAAAGAAGAATCCTATGATCTCTTTTTTTTAAAGTGGATGAGCAAGAAACTAGCATATATTACTTTAATTCCTAGATGCCAACACATGCCCTATCCACTGAGGTTCAGTTTTACTAAGTTTGTTTACACACAAATAGCTTAATAAAATGTTTAGTTACCAATAAGTCAACTACTAAATCTACTTGATCTTACTGGTTTACCCAATTCCTTGAAATATTGGGAAAAAGTTACTACTATTACTTTTACTATCTCTACTAACTTTATTGTTATTACCAACATTATCATGGTTATTATCAACAATAATAAAAATAACAAAAGTAAGAACATTTCTTCATGATCATTCTAGGAACTGGGTTAACTGGTAGGACCAGTAATTGACTTGGTAAGAGCTTGTGGAGCCATATGCCTAAACAAAATTAAATAAAACATAACCAGTGAATGCATATATATGTGTGTATATATATATATATATATATATATATATATATATATATATATATATATATATATATATATATATATATATATATATATATATATATATATATATTCTCTTCACATCAACAAGTTGAAGCAGTTCACTAAATGGATACCTTTTTTCTTAAATCATAATCCACAGCATTTTTATCGAGTCACAGATTATCAAAACAGGGCATCCCTATGCATCATTATTCCATATCACTTGTTAAACTATGCATCAGC